AAAGAATCTTAACAGCTGGTTCAACCAAACAATTTGATTCTGTGATGTCCAATAGCATTAAAAAGTTAATAGGTTTACCAACAGAGTGTAGCACTATTATTTTTTTACATTTTTGGCAACAGCTAATTTGCAACCAAGAGGTGAGTGAGCGTAGCGAACAAACTTCAACCCGGAGGCGAGTAAGCGTAGCGAACGACCTCCAACCTAAAGGTGAGTAAGCGTAGCAAACGAACTTCAACCAGGACGTGATTGAGCGATGCGAACGAGTTCATCTTGAAAATGAACGAGCATTTGACATATAACCACATTAGGACAGGACGACTCTGTCAGGCCAGCTGGTTTTTTTAGCGAATTTCCCATATAGGGAATAAGCTATTACCGTAGTACTCACGGTAAGACCTGGACCCGGGACCGATTTTTTTTTCGTTTTGAGGTCCCTAGAGGCCAAAAACACCATCCGTTCAAATTCATATATATATATATATATATATATTTATATATATATATGTGTCCGTTAGCGCGATAACTCGAGCAAAAATGATCCGATTTTGATGAAATTTGGTACAAATGTGTAAACCTACGTTTATTCGAACGAGTTCGCGAACCAGCATGATCGGACCGTGGGAACGGGGGTTTATGGGGGCTTTTATGGGGTAAAAATGGGTTTTTCCCATTTTCGACCCAAAAAACATAAAATTTTGCAATTTCTTTCTAAACTATTTTGTAGAGCTTAAAAAAACAAATTATTTAGTATATTGAAGCGTTATAATGCACCAAATGGTTACGGAGAAAATTCCAAAAAATTGTAAATTTAAAATTTCCATGTTATTCTTATGGAGAATAAGTAAACTGTTGTAGTTTGCTTGTTTATAAACATATTTTGCCCAAATTTGGAAAATGTTTTTATTTCTTACTAACTATTAACATTTTACATAAAAAACACTTTTACCCTCCCTGTTACAGCAAACCTAAGTTTGTGTAAAACTGATTCTATTTAAATCTATATAAATAAAATTAGAGTTTTGTCTGTACATTGCTTAGAATAATGAACTTTTTGGTTATTTTTACATTTCATAGGTCAGAGAAACCGAATCAAACCTTATCTCAATTTCTGTCTGTCTGTCTGTCTGTCTGTCTGTCTGTCTATCTGTCATTCTCTTGGTAACGCTAAAATACGCACTTTATTACAACTACTCCTCAATAACTATAGCACTGTCCCGCCTGAAACTTATTTTCCAAATACTATACATATATGAGATGGTTTTAGACGTATTTCATCGAATATGAGACAGTTAGATATTTAACAGTAAACCCTTGAAAATCAAGTTTTTGTCGATTTTTGACGTGGAATTTCTGGAAGCCCATGTTAACCTTATGAGAAATGAAATTATTGAATCTTAACAGCTGTTTCAATTAAACAAGTTGGTTCTGTTCTGTGATGTTCAATAGCATTAAAGTTACAAGGATTACCAACAGGGTGCAGCACTAGCACTATTATTTCTTTTACATTTATGACAACAGCTAATTTGCAACCTGGAGGCGAGTGAGCGTAGCTAACGAGCTAACCTGAAGGCAAGTGAGCGTAGCGAACGAGCTAACCTGAAGGAAAGTGAGCGCAGCGAACGAGCTCCAACATACAGGTGAGTGAGCGTAGCGAACGAACTTCAACCAGGACGTGATTGAGCCATGCAAACGAGATCAGATAGTAAAAATAAAAGTAAGCCTACCGTTATAGGATCGACCGGCAGACACAGAGGTAATTTAACCTTTTATTGATTGTCATACCGATCCGGAACAACAAAAAACAACATAAAATGAAGCTATGTATAATAGTTTGGCCAGCATATCTTAAAATATGCAAACCAACTGCTGTTCGTTATATAAGAAGGTTTCAACTGAATATTATAAGATCCCCGTGCGTAGAACGGGTACACAGCTAGTAGGGAATAAATGTGATATTTTTAAGGAGACATTTTAGTGTAAATCCATTCAGGGAAATGGAAATTCGCTTAGTCTGCAGGTTTGCTGCGGCGGGGGTATTATAAAATTAGTGACATTGAGCAGCTTAAGATTAAAGAATATAAAATGATAACCCGCTGCAGTAAACCTGCAGACTCTAAGAGAATTTCAATTTATCTGACTTGATTTTTACTTAAACAGTTCCATAAACAAGTCTTATTTGTTCCACATTTAAATAACATTAAATTGAACGAGGAGGCTAAGAGGGTTTGCTTCAATGGGGAAGGTAAAAAGCGTCTTTTAATTTTACTAAATTGTAATATTAATATTTGGTAAAGCATCTATATAATTAATACGCTACATGAAATTTTGTCGGTTGAACTCCTCCGCCATTTCTTAACCGATTTTTTCCATTGACGTCTCATTGGAAAGAGCGTGTCGCGTAGATTTGCAAACTGGCCTTACATTTTTGAAAAAGTCCCTTGGGCTCTGCCTCAGTGGCTTTAAAAGTTCCCATGTTATCCTTACGAAGAACATAATTGTTTACATTTTGATCAGCTGTATAATTTAATTGCTGGTATATTTATTTTTCAATTCAACAAAACGCAATGGGTTCATTTACTGATTTTGTTGAAATTAAATATTCACTACTTTAATTTACAATATAAAAAATCGAGAAAGCCTGGGCAATTTGATATATTTTTCCTCCTATATAATGAAGAACACCTACAATATGAAGATTCCTACAAACAATGAACAAGGATGTTAGCCGAAGTGTTACTATTTTGTAGGAAACACGGACTTAACTTTATGATGATTGGCAAAGGAAAAAACTCTAAGGCTGAATTATACTGGTACGGCAAGGACATTAAATATATATTTTCATAATAGTCAAGTGATTTTAAATAATATGACTATATCCAAGAAATCTTAAAAAAACTCATTGAAGGATTTGCATTATTCACATTTAAGGGAAACAAACCCCATCTGAACAACATTATTAGGACTTTCAATTCTGAAATTTTTCAAGAAAATTTAACCATTGAGTATACACGTATATAATTGAGTATACGTGTATACTCAATGATATAGCTTACGTTATAACAGTAACTAGCCAAATTATTGCCAATTGAAGCAAATACAATTGTGATAGAGAGGTGAGAGGTTATGCAGAAAATCAGGCAGTTCTTAAGTAATGTTAACAAAATGTTATCGCTATAAAAAAATTACTGAAAATTGTAAACGTACTGGCGACAATGGGTAGTACCATAGATAAAACACTCTTTTATCTATGGTAGTACCATGCAGACTACATTATCATTGACGAAGATCATCATGGACAACCTAATGTGGCTTTAAGTGAATACACTAAAAAACAAAATCATCTTTTTAAAATTAATATAATATTTACAAGAAATGTTGATTGTATGGAACTGTTAGGTAAGAATCTATGATTTGAGTCTAAAACTCATCGGAAATTATGACTTTTATTCGTTTTTTAAATAAGTTATTTGTTTTTAAATAACTACTTTACTTCTTTGCAATTGCTCGATTTCGAGCAACATGTACACTAGTATGGAATAGATACATTTACTAAATTAATCAACATAAATACATTAATAAGCAGATTAAAGCAGTTTTCCACATAAGGAAAACTTGGGAAATTCAAATGTACAGTTTTTGGAATTTTCTCTCTAACCCCAACAATGTCACTGTGTAAAATTATTTTTTTAGCTCTACACATAATGATTGTAATGACAATTGGGCATTTCTATAATTTAAGGGTGAAAATATATAAAAACAAATTTATGAACATTCCAATACCCCATAAACACTCCGGTCCCAAATCATCCAATATCTTACTAATTTGCGGTCTCAATCAATTTTATCCGCTCTACACCTTTAAGCCAAATTTCATTAAAATTACTCAAGTTATCGTGTTCACGGATGTATATAGGTGAGGTGCCAATGAAGTCATAAGACGACTTTATAATTTTGAAGTGAAAAGAGATATTACAACCAAGTTTGGCACATCATTATTGGTGATAGTAAGCTACTTTTCTGTGTAGGGCCTACATGGTGATCGGATGTCACCAATACAAATTTTCCTGAGGTACGGTAGTGGCTGTCGTCAATCAAGTGTTTAGGCCCCTTATTCATAAACCTAGATGAAGTCCCTGATTCATAAACGTATAACACCCTTCAGCTGGATTTCGAGATATATATTACAGACAGACAGACAGGCATAGGTCGTATTGGAGTATTATTTATTAAAACCTAAACTGAAATGACAATTAAATGTTAGAAAATGATTTGGCTATTAACAATTTTGTGCACTGCATATTACTGAGCAAGTGTCTAATGTAACTTATATACCAAACTCATAAACAGTGCTAGTAATTTAGTTTTTTGCTATATCACTAGCTGATAATGTTCATCTTAGGTTATAGTTAGAAATAAATTAAATATTTAAATAAAAATCCAAAACTAAGTAAAATCAACACAATTTAATTTGAAAATAAATACAATTGAATATTCAATTAATTATTTGCCATATTGAATAACATTGCGTTACTACAATCTTGTTGGCCCTTTCACCGTTCACACGTTCGCCACTAGCAGCGTCGCGTCGTCGACGGTATCGCGGTGGCAGTGGCAGTGCGTTATCAATGTCGCTGTCCCAGTGTAGTGTTTGACAGCCTGCGCGGATACACGAGGTAGGCGCTACACCTGTTGCATTGACCTAATTACACTCGTCAGCTGTTTATACCACTACAAGTCACTAACAGCTGATGGCTAATAAACGTCATGTTTACATTTTTAGACTAGCTTGGTCAGTTTAGGATGTGTTTTTATCTTTTGGTTTTCTTATTTCACAATGTTATATTGTATTGTCTTCATAAAATTAAATCACTTAACTAATGGTAAAGCTACTTTTTACTCACAGTGTAATTAGGAATTGTATCACGTTATTCCATAATGATTGTCATTGTATTAATGACATTTGATAACATTTTATCTGGATGTTTTGTAACTAAAGATCACTCCATACATGTGCTCATGCCTAAGTGATCTACAAAGTAACCACAATATGACAATTACAATGACAAAACTAACTAATGTAGTGCGGATTCATCCTGTTCAGTTACTGTAAGATCTATGGATATCTACACAATATTGATATCAACAATGCACTGGCACTGCTTGATATGACATTTCAAGTCCCCTAATATACTTTATGCAGTTTGAAGCCTATAATTATTCAGATTTACATGTAAAAAAATGATTTGGTGTAAACCGATGATGGTATGATTGATGATATCCAACAGTGAACTTTATAGATAAAAGATGTCACAAGAATAAACCGTTACGTTTGATATTATTTACTGCCACAAACAATACATAGAAACATTTTACATATCTCAAACATAAACACCTACATTTTACTATTAGCCTACAAATAAATGTTTATATATACAGAAAAAATGTATTTTAGTCCATGGACTAACAATTATTTTAGGCTATATACAGTTATTTTAATTTGATGTAGGTGGTATTAAACTACTATATGCTCCATTTGTGTCCTTTAATCAACCACTTGCAATATATATATATATATATATATATATATATATATATATATATCTAATGTAACATTTAAATTCTAATATAAAAGAAAATAGAGTATGTAATATTCGAATATTTTTAAACTGCACTTTTTTTTACATATTCCAGTGCTTTGTATAAGGCATCGTGGGCTTTTTAATTTCAACATTTTATCATTTCAAGTTTATTTGAAGTGTTTTCTTAGTTAGTATTTCAAATTTCCCCTTTCGTCTTCTAGATTAAATCGATTGAGGTGGTTTTGGTGTGATTTGATTCAGCGATACAGCTCAGAGAGAAAGTTGTTCTAAAAATTGACCTTAAGCAATTGGCTTTACTAACCAGTTAATTTTAATTACAAGGTAAATTTTATGACAACAATTAACAACCAACTAACAGTATAACACATACTTTTGGGACTACCTGTATTCTTTCAACATGAATAGGAGTTGTTGAAACTATCTATTATTCAAAGTAAAAGAATTGCAAACGAGCTTATATACTATCCAGTCCTTACTGTATTGTTTACCGATAAGAAATTGCCATTTAATTGTTATCAACTGGTAACACGTCTAACTTTTGCTCGGATTTCGTATGCTTATAGCCTAGTTATATTTGTATACACGTACTGAAAAATGTATGTGCTTATAGGAAGGCGTGAGGTAGTAAATTATTATATGAAATTAAAATGCGAATCAACCGATCGAATAGTACGTACATCTTCTCTACTTATAATTTACAGAGAAAAAAGTCCCGGGGCAGTGAAATATATAGAAAAAAACAATAAATGTAGAGCTATGAAACTTGGTACTGACGTGTATTCACTTATACAATTAAAAGTACAACTTAGTAAAACGAAACTTGACTTTAATCATGTAAAAACTAACTGACAACAAAAAGTAAACAATCTTGTTATTTGTATGTAACATATGGTAATAAATAATGTGAACTCTATACAGACCAAAAGCACGAACACTTCACCTTCTCGTCGAGATTGAACTACTGTCCTTGTCTTCAAGAAGGTTTTTATGCTTTAGTTGGTCAGCGTGTTTTTTAAAGATTCTTCTATTGTTACCTTCAACTTTCCACACGTTTCGCCCTAGTCTCTTCAAGATTACGCCGGGTTTCCACACAACATTTCCGTTTCTGGTTTCTGCCCAAAACACAGGTTCATTTATTTTGAAGTTTTTTAGGCTAGTAGTGGCTCCTTCTTTATTCTCTTTCTCTTTTGTTTTACCTTCTTTATTTTCTTCCTCTTCTGTTTTAATCTGACTTCCTTTTTGGGGTTGAACTAAATCTAAGATACATCTTAGCTGACGTCCTAAAAACAACTCAGAAGGTGACATTCCAGAAGTTATGTGTGGTGTTAACCTGTACTTAAATAAAAAGTTGTTTAAGTCAGCTTCCAAACCTTTAGGGGATTGTTCTTGACAAAGTTTTCTCAACGCCTGTTTCATGGTACCGACGTATTTTTCAACTTGTCCGTTGGAACACGGATGGTAAGGTGGAGTGGTTACGTGGTCGATTCCAAATGCTTTACAAAACTGTGCAAATTCTACGGAAGTAAAACAGGGTCCGTTGTCTGTCACTATGGTTTTAGGGATTCCGTATCGGCATATTAACAGCTTAATTTGTTTGATTGTTACTGAAGTCGTCATAGAGTTCAACTTGATAATTTCTGGCCAACCGGAGTATGCATCTACGACCAAAAGAAAAACACTATTAAGGAAAGGTCCAGCGAAGTCGAAGTGTATACGGGTCCAAGGGTCAGTGCATCTCGGCCAATTACTGAGGAACTTTCTCTGTGGTTCTCTTGCAGCATACAAGTTGCATAGTGCACAAGTTCTTGCCACGTTTTCGATGTCATTGTCCATCGATGGCCACCAAAAACGATCTCGGGCCAACGCCTTCATCTTTACCATTCCTAAATGAGTGTCGTGCAGGTTCATAAGTAATTTCTGCTTGAACTTTTCTGGGATAATTGCTCTAACCCCCCACATTAGGCAGCCCTCATGTATGGATATCTCGTTCTTCCTTGACTCATAGGGTTTTAACTCCATATTGTCTGTCTTGTTTGGCCACCCACTTAATACAAACTCTTTGACCCGATTAAGAGTGACATCATTCGACGTTTCTTCACTGATTTCTCTAGCCGTGACTGGTAGACAATCTATGTTACCTGAGAATATTAATCCAACTACGGTGCTATAACTCTCATCGGCTTGGTCAAACTCGACATCTTCCTCGAAAGGCAAACGACTTAAACAGTCAACTTTCCCAAATAGTTTAGTAGAAACGTATTCTATGTCAAAACGAAAATTTGTTAAAAACAAAGCCCACCTTTGTATTCTGCAAGACGTGGTTACTGGCACTCCTTTGCTGGATCCGAATATAGATAATAGAGGTCTGTGGTCTGTTTGGATCAGAAAATGTGTGCCCCAAAGGTAGATGCGGAACTTTTTAATAGCATAAATCAAAGCTAAAGCTTCTCGTTCAATTTGCGAATAATTTTGCTCTGCCTTGTTCAGTGTTTTAGGAGCATACGCGATCGGCTTCTCTTCTCCGTTAGGATATCGATGAAAAATTGCGCAACCAATCCCCACTGATGAAGCATCGGCTGCAACCACTATAGGTAATTCACTATTAAATGGCACTAGAATAGGAGTGGAAACTAAAGCATCTTTAATACGGTTAATTGACTGAGAGCATTGTTCTGTCCATGTCCATTGAACATTTTTCTGCCTTAGTTTGTTTAATGGTGCACAGATCTCAGAAAAGTTTGGGATGAACTTTGAGTAAAAGTTTGCCATTCCTATAAATGATTCCAACTGTTTAATGTTTTGGGGTTCAGGCATATCTACTATGGGCTTTATCTTGTCTTGATTCGTCGAAATTCCATCTTTGGAAATACATAGACCCAAATAGTTGACTTTTCCTTCATGAAGTGACACTTAGCTCTGTTTAAACAAAAACCATTGTCCTCAATGAGTTTCAGAACCTCTTTTAACGTGTTTAGATGTTCAGTGTCATTTCTTCCTGTTATAATGACATCATCCAGTAGGAAAGCGACTCCATCTAATCCAGAAAGCATAGAATGCATCTTTTTTTGAAAAATTGCCGCAGCAGGAGCTACGCCAAAACACAGTCGATTGTATCGCATAAGACCAAAAATAGTGTTAATGACAAGGAGTTTTTTAGATTCTGTGTCCATGGGAATAGAAAGGTAAGCATCAGAGAGGTCAAGGGTAGTAAATTTCTGTCCAAAACCTATCTTGGTCAATAAATCGTCTTGAGTTGGTAATGGAAACTGCTGCACCTTTAATGCTTGGTTGAGTCCCGTTGAAAAATCTGCGCATATTCTAATAGCTCCATTCGGTTTTCTTACAATCACGCATGGCGCAGCCCATTCTGAATGGTCTATTTCTTCAAGGATACCATTTCTTTTTAACCGGTCAAGTTCTTCTTTAACCTTGTCCCTTAAAGCTAAAGGAACAGGCCTTGCCTTTTTAAACACTGGTGTAGCACCCTCTTTTAGGTACAAATGAGCAGTTGTCTTTGAACATTTATTTTCATTGGGTTGAAAAATGTCAGAAAACTCATCCACAAGTTTGGCAAGTTGTTGATCCGTATTTTCTATTTGTAAGGTTTGTTTATACGGTTCTGAACATATCCTTTGCAAATCGGAAAGTGATATTTTGTGGAGAAATAAAGGTAAAATCCAATCTCTTCCCAAAATATTTTGTTTGACACCGGAAGCGACAAAAGCTCTGAGTTTGGATTTAACGTTTGCAAAAACAACTTCTACATCCATCTCACCAAGAAGTTTAACACAATGACCTGTAAATGAAGTAAAATTCTGTTTACTTAACAAAAGGTCGGGTTTTCCTATCTGTTTCCAAGTATGATCTGAGATAATTGAAGCGCAGCTACCTGTATCAAACTGCATCCTTACGATCTGGTTATTGAGTAAGATATTAAGAATAAGTATCGGGTAAAAAGTTGCCTGCTTTCCGATTGAAAGAACGTCCTGTATTCCTCCCAAAGAGTTCGTATCATTATAGCTAGTTACATCATTATCAACAACGTTACTACCGGATTCCTTTGACTTTGGACCATTCTAAACAATGTTGCTTTTAAGGTGTCGTTTCTCCACCTGTCCCGTTTTACATATTCTAGTTATGTGATTCCTACTCCCGCATTTGTAACATATTGGATTTTTAATGTTACAATTCCTTTTCAGATGTTTACCACCACATATAAAGCATGGTCCTAGAGATAAAACATTACAATCTTCCCTCTGAGAAAAACTATTTAATGAAGCATCTTTTACTGAGAAAAGAGAATTAGCTACGTTAATGACTTCTGAGAACGTTTCATAATCCTTCTCCATGAGTTTGGATCTTATATTGTTATCACATATCCCCATTACAAAAGCGGTAACAAGTGCTTGTTGGAAAAATTGAATGGGAAATTGACAATCATTTACTTTATTCCTCAGAACATTGGCAAACTCCGTCAGACTCTCGCAGCCCTGACGCAGTGAAAAAAACTTGACTCTTTCTGCAATAGCGATTTTTTTAGTTTTAAAATTGTCCAACAATAGTTTAAAAAGTTCTTCATACTTAAAGTCATTTAAATCATTAGGTCTACAAAGGTTAACCAGTGTGCTTAACACATTTGTACCCAAAGCGTTTATGAATAGCAAGCGTTTGGTTTCATCATCATTAATTCCATTGAGTTTAAGACCTGTAGTAAACTTAATGTGCCACACATCAATCTCTACTGTGTCCGGGTCGAACAAGTCACATTTAAAATTACAAATACTTTTTTCATTACGAACTTGATCGGTACCTGGATCGTCTTGATGTCGTCTATGTCTACCTGATGTCGGCATTGTGTGAGTTTTAATTCCTCGTCGCCAATGACGTGTATTCACTTATACAATTAAAAGTACAACTTAGTAAAACGAAACTTGACTTTAATCATGTAAAAACTAACTGACAACAAAAAGTAAACAATCTTGTTATTTGTATGTAACATATGGTAATAAATAATGTGAACTCTATACAGACCAAAAGCACGAACACTTCAGGTACAACGTTACTGGGCATCAAAATCATTTTAACCCATTTAGTACAGGTAAAATGATACTAAAAAACCATTAGAAAACATAAAAATTAGTCCATTCAAGAAACTTTCAGGAAACGTAGTAATTACCATTAGGTATTGGAATCTGAAGAGTCCCTAGTGATTGTGGGGGTGGAAGTAGCATTTTATGGGGTTTTAAGTTTATGGGGGTAGTGATTTTGGGAAAATTTTTATTTATGGGATCCAAGCAAGTGGGGTGTCGTTTTCTATGTTTCTTAGGATGCAGAATCGAAAAAGAACATAATAAAATCAATAAAACCGACAGTTTATCAGAAAAAGACTAATTTATTAATGAAAAACGAAATATGACAAATTAATTAAGGTAAAATAATCCAGTTAATTAATATCACTCTCCTATTACAAAATTGATGATGAGTCTGTGTCACATGTTAAAGTTGTGAGGGAAATTAACCAAGAAACTGGTAGTTACGACTCTTTAACCACCACGTGTCCTATTCTTCATCAGCTACTGATGCATCATCACCTTCCATGGAATCGTCAGGGTCTCTAACTCGTTCTTCTCCATCATCGTTTTGACTTAACACTGACAGCTTAGTAGTGGGGATGGGTAGCAGAAACATATGTCAGTTCTGGCGATGATCCTGCAACTCAGGGTGAAGATAATATATAAGACCGAGTATGTAAAACCGCCCAGACCCGAATTTTTAAGGACTTTGGTCGCCCGTAATGACGTCATCAATATGGCGCTCGTAAGAGGATGCTGGGTCGCTATGAATTGGTTAATATACCAAAATGCCTGAACCGATTTTAATTAAATTTGGCATACAAGTGCTTGAATACTATATCTAATCCCAGTTTGTCAATGGTCGAGTTTGGTGATGTCATTTCAAAATGGCGGCCGTTAATAATTAAAATATTTAAAAATTGTTTAATGTTTTGTTTTTTCAACTCCCTCCAGAAATCTGCAGCGATCTTTCATTTTCCTTGCAATCACAGGTTGTGATGCCATCTCTGCATTTCATGGAATAGGCAAAATACCCCCACCGCAGCAAACCTGCAGATTAAGTGAGTTTCTATTTGCCTGATTTGATTTTCAATTAAATCTATTTCAATAACATTAAGTTTAATTAGTACATAGGTTTGCTGCTACGGAGAGGATAATAAAGTGTGTTTTTTTTTTAAACATTATAGCTTAGGTCAAAATAAATAAATTTGCCAAGTTTTATCAAAATATATCCATAAACGAGTAAACTACAACAGTTTACTTATTCTCCATAAGAATAAAATGTGAATGATAAATTTACAATTTTTGAATTTTCTCGGTAGGTAACCAATATCCGTACAAAAACACTTCAATAAACAAAATTATTTGGTTTTTAAGGTATTCAAATTCATCATGGTATCCAAAATGGTTTAGAGAGAAATTGGAAAATGTTATAGAGGGTTAAACATGACAAAACCCAATTTTGACCCCATAAATCCCCCCAAAAACCCCGTTCCCATGGTCTGATCATGCTGGATTGCGAACTCGTTAGAATCAATCCAAAGATTTGTTGTACTTTTCTATATGATATAACATCAAACTTTAACAGTGTTAATGACTGTAGACGTGTACTTTTTAAAGAACGTTAGCACAACTCAAGTAATAACTCAAGCAAAAATTACCCAATGTTGACGAAATTTTGTAAAAACGTGCAAATTTACGTTTACTCGAACGAGTTCGCGAACCATCATTATCGGACCATGAGAACGGGGTGTTCTGGGGGATTTATGGGGTAATAATTGGGTTTTCTCATGTTTGCCCCTGAAAAAGGAAAATTTTCGAATTTCTCTCAAAACTATTTTGAATACCCTGATTAGTAATTTTGCTAGTTTATGGTTATATTTTGATAAAACTTGGCGAATTTATTTAACATATTCATATTTTAATAAAAAAACACACTTTATTACCCTCCCCGTAGCAGCAAACCTAGTTAACACTAAACTTAATGTTATTGAAATGGATTTAATTGAAAATCAAATCAGGCAAACGGAAACTCACTTAATCTGCAGGTTTGCTGCGGTGGGGGTATTTTGCCTATTCCATGAAATGCAGAGATGGCATCACAGCCTGTGATTGCAAGGAAAATGAAAGATCGCTGCAGATTTCTGGAGGGAGTTGAAAAAACAAAACATTAAACAAATTTTAATTATTTTAATTATTAACGGCCGCCATTTTGAAATGACCTAACCAAACTCGACCATTGACAAACTGGGATTAGATATAGTATTCAAGCACTTGTATGCCAAATTTCATTAAAATCAATTCAGGCATTTTGGTATAGTAACCAATTCATAGCGACCCAGCATCCTCTTACGAGCGCCATATTGATGACGTCATTACGGGCGACCAAGGTCCTTAAAAATTCGGGTCTGGGCGGTTTTACATACTTGATCTTATATTATTATCACCCTAAGTTGCAGGATCATCGCCAGAACTGGAATATGTTTCTGCTACCCATCCCCACTACTAAGCTGTCAGTGTTAAGTCAAAACGATGATGGAGAAGAACGAGTTAGAGACCCTGACGATTCCATGGAAGGTGATGATGCATCAGTAGCTGATGAACAATATGACACGTGGTGGTTAAAGAGTCGTAACTACCAGTTTCTTGGTTAATTTTCCTCACAACTTTAACATGTGACACAGACACAAGATCAATTTTGTAATAGGTGATTGATATTAATTAACTGGATTATTTTACCTTAATTAATTTGTCATATTTAGTTTTTCATTAATAAATTAGTCTTTTTCTGATAAACTGTCGGTTTTATTGCTTTTATTATGTTCTTTTTCGATTCTGCATCCTAAGAAACATAGAAAACGACACCCCACTTGCTTGGATCCCATAAATAAAAATTTTCTCAAAATCACTACCCCCATAAACTTAAAACCCCATAAAATGGTACTTCCACCCCGACAATCACTAGGGACTCTTTAGATACCAATACCTAATGGTAGTTACTACGTTTCCTGCAAGTTTCATGAATGGACTAATTTTTATGTTTTCTTAGGTGAGTTTACCTGTACTAATTACTCAGTGATATGCTACCTCCTCAGGGGACGGCCCGCCAGTCATCCGTAGGCCTATATACGTTATTAAAAAAGTATGAAATCAAAATACAATACACACCAGAAAAAATATAAGATTAGGACGAGAGTTCGCCCCGTGGTCAAAAACTTGACCAAAAGTATGTATTGTGCAAACTTCTCTATTTTAACCCCACGCTGTAAATAAAACATGCGATTGGAATTTCTT